AAGCACAAAATCTCAAAATTGATTTTCTGGGCGGACACTGCCTTTAAGGTTGATCACCATACGTCTGACTATTGTGTCGAATGTTTGTTAGGTACGGGAGCATCTTGCATATATGCTTTGCTTGGTGCTCGCTGGGTTGGGTGGAAATTCATAGCAACAGAGGCTGATGAAGCAGCGGCCAAAGTCGCCAATAATAATGTAGCTCGCAACAAACTTGGCCATCTCGTTCGAGTTCTTCATGTCAGCGAACATTCGCCGTCACTAATCAGGGTTTGTCTGATACTCGCGTATGCTTTTACAAATCATACCTCATGTTCAGGATTTAGCACGACAATTTCACGATCTTCAGTTTTCATTTTGTATGTGCAATCCTCCTTTTTTCGAATCTTGTGAGACTGACAAGGTAGATTTTTCATTATATGAATCACAATTACAGTATTATTTTTGGTTATCTTCTCGATTAAGCTCTAAATAATTTCGTTTTTAGCGATTCTCCGTTGACAAACGATCTGGTGCTCTTCTGAATGAATGCAGTGTTGACTCTGAAGAAGCCGAGCGTGCACCTCCACGTTCAGCCACATTGGCGCGACGGGGTGAACTAGAGTTCGAGGTAGGGCTTTTAAACTTTCCTCTTGCATCTCTACCTGCTTGATGTTTCGTTTAATTACCTGCATTAATACGATTTCTGATTAGAGAAGCACTGAACTTTTTTCTCAGTTTTTTCTGTCAATTTTTAGGGTGGTGAAGTTGCATTCATCGGTCGTCTTATTGATGATAGCGTGCTACTTCAAACTCAAGTCAGGTGAAGCTAATTGACGTTAGTCATCTTACTGTTTCTTATGATTCCCATTATTATGTGTGTGCAAATTGCAGTATGTGTTTAGTCGGCTTTACTGCAAGAATCCCTTATTCAGTTCTTTTTCCGAGGCGTTTTTTTTGTTTGGTGATCTGTTTTTTGATGAAAAGCTCATGATTCTTTCAAATTGCTGTGCTGAACCGCGTGATTTGCCATTCGGCCTTGCATTCCCACGCGAAATCCAATAGTTTCCCAAATATACAGCGCTAAAATGAGTCTCTTT